ATCAAGGTCCTATTATGTTTAATGTATGTACCAAATTTGAACAAAATCTGTCCATGCATAACTGAGATCCGGGTCCGGAATGGTGAAAATGTGCGATTTTGATGCATTTTCGGCCTTAAAATGGCCGCTATTCGGCTATCGTTAATCGGATCATGAAAAAAATGCATGTGCATATGTCCCATATAATGTGTGATGTATGAGTGAAGTTTGAACTTAATCGAACTACGTCCGAACGGGGACTAATAATGTCTTTATTCCAAAAATACTGAAAAACCGTGAGTTGTTGCCTTAGTTAATTTTTTATTGGCGAAAACCGGCGAACTCGACAAATTTGGTTGCACAACTTCCCTTTATCATATACACCCAGCGACACCGATGCCAGCTGACTGTGTACAAAACTGGTAGGAGGTAATACATGAGGTAATACATTTGGGGCGAAAGTATTCAAAAATCAGTTTTTGGATGTTGCAATGGCAGTGGTGGGCCAGGATTTTTTTCCAATTAGTGACGGCACGAACAAAACCAGTCGAGCCGAAAAAATCACAGAGGAGTTAAAAGCCATTGCTGGTGAAAAGTTACCCCAACTTTGGGGTCAAATTTCTCGGTAATGAAAACAGATATCAAAAATTCAAATAGTAACTTTGTGCCCACACTCAAGCTGAGTAGAATGAGCTATGTCTGAAGTGTTTTATCCCAAATTTGTAGGAGGAGATACATTTGGCGCGAAGCTATCCAAAAATCAGTTTTTTCAGATTTTTCCTAATAACTAGGGTGAAGGTGTGACCTACCTGCCAAGTTTGAACGAAATCGGCCAAGCCAAAAAAATCACAGAAGAAATCATACGTGAAAACACTGGAAATGTACACACACAGACACACACACACAAAACGGAGCTAGCGGAGCGGATCGCCAATATTTGTATCAACGTTTCCCGCTCAAGTTCAGAATCCCCACGAGGGTATAAACATGTAAGCACTCAATGTATCTGATTTATGTCTTTTCTATGTTATGTTCACGTGCTTCAAATAAACAACTAGTTATACGCTATTAAGTATGTGTCGTGTCTGACTGCTGGACATCTGGTTTTATAAAAAAATCTTACGCCCAAATATACTATTTTCCCACAATTTTGTCTTTACAATTTGAAGACTTTCTTTACACCAGATGCAAAAGTCTCGGTGCTTTAAGTTCATAGCTTATAATTTTTTAGTCGACGCAAAAATTTCGAGATTTTCTTTACACCAGTAATTGAAGAGTAATTACCCCAGCTCTGGAACACGAGTCCGACACGCATGTCAAGTTTGTCGAGAATGAAATGAAGAGAGCGAACGGATGAAATCAATGAAACAAAAACAAGGTTTATTATTTTAAAAACAGTACAATATATATGGCATAATAAATACAAAAGGAATCGCTTTTCAATTGATGTTCATCCTAAAATCAAATATTAAACGTCCGAAGGATCGTAATCAACATTTGATCATGAATGAATAAAATAGAACACAAATCAACTATTACGTTGCTCATCATACGTAGGCATCGGTAATTAGAACATTCTGGGTAAATACCCCTGGAATACGCAGGATGTACAAACAAGAAATAGGTCAAGAAACGAAAGAAACTCATGCAGATTATGGAAGATCTTTTGCAAATGCACATTTTGCTTACACACAGCTTTATTTGGCCGACTGAGTGAGCTTACTTGAGACATGGAGATAATAAAAAAAAACTTTCTTTTACCTCCATGCTTGAGATCACTGTGATCAGACGAACTCCTTCATACTGTAAACTATTGCGCGCCAATAACGCCACAGGGATCGATCCCCGTTGTTGTACTGCTCCCGGAGCCTTGAGATTCGGGCCTGCAGGTTTCGCCATTTCCGCTTCCTCGGGGGACAAGGGTCTCATCTGGCGATCCCTGCTAGTGTCATTTCGACTAGTCGTTGCTCATCTTTCATCTTTCTTATGAAGAACCATAGGGACGGATGGACGCGTCCAACATTGTTGTTCCATCTTGTGTGGAAGCCTAATAGGGACAACAATGGACAAAACACAATGATTATTTTCTAATTTGTTATCAACGTTGGATTTTATGTCTGATTCTGAAATGAGTTATAACCGTTTACTACCTTCTAATGAGTCCAAAAATTATTTGCCACCCAAAAATCGTGACCCTAGCATGTCCAAAATACGAGTCAAGAAAAAGGGAAGTTCTACTATAGTACCCAGCAGAGCCAGATGCTTGGCTCCAGCTGTTTTTGCCGTGTTTTTAGGCATTTTTGTCAGTCGTTCTTACTTATACTGTTTTCATGTCTCTGTTTGGCCGCGAGACGAATAATTGTACAATACAGAACGCCCGACAAGAGGCATAAAAAAGTCAAAAACAGCTGGAGAGTAATAACTACACATCCAACCAATCGGTGCTAAACCACATCCAAACAAACTTAATGCATCAATACACACGCTACCAAAAACAAAACATTCTTGGGTAAAGTAATTGAAGTTACCTTCAACATGATTGTCGGTCCTTGTGTCCTGGTCTCTGTTGAACACGTTCCACAGGTGGACAGGGAATGTGACGTTTGCATTGATGTAGTTTGTTTCCATGTAGTGGATAAAGTCCTCCAGGGCTGGGTACAACACAATCAGGCGCTGGGTGGACTGGCGGCGCACAAAGTTTTGGAAGTTCATCCTCACGACTGCCACTGGCAGGTACCCTATACCCATCAACATTCGAATACACTTCTTAAGGCGTTGGTCCTGCCTGTACATTCTTGCCATGCCGAGGCGTTGGATGCGACGCCACAGGCTTTGGCAAAAATGAAAATAACAGCTGGAGATTCTGGTACGTCGGAACTCTGTGTCGATTACTGTCATCAAGGAAATCTCGTAGTCAGCAACCACTCGCTGGAGATGCAGGCGATGGCCAGTTAGTTGTTGTACCTTGGCTCTAACGTGTTGGAACACCTGTCGATATGCACCGATTCGTTTGTCCGCCATGAGGACCATGACGAGCGGCAGTACTCTACCTTGATACAGTCCATGGATGGTGAAAAACTGACTGTATGGGCGAGGACACGTTTTAAATGTACCATCCATGTACATCACTTTGCATTCCCGAAGTTTTCGGTAGTTCTTGTTAGTAGCAAAGACCATGATCCCCCAGTCATTGTCTTGGTGGCTGAGAAACTGCCGTCCACGACCCCACGTCTCTGCCCACTCGCCTGGGATTACCACATTTTCTATGTCACATGGAATGGGGGGCACATGGGCAGCTCGGCGGCGCTCTAACTGGGTGCGGACGGTCCCGAAGTTCGGCACGTCCTCCAATTGCTGCTCGTCCTGCACGCATGCGTTGTAGACTCTTCTTGCGGGTCTGGATAGGTCGGCCTCCACGGCTTCCGACATCCGACATATTACCGCTCTTGCTTTCATGGCTTCGTCTTCTGGGCCATGATTCTCATGCGGCGACACCTGTAATCAAACGAAAACAATAGAAATTTTCATCAGCCAACTTGCATCAAGTTATTAAAGGGCAGTAGTCGTAGCGCCACGCATGCGCAAGATTTATGGGTCTCATATAAGCAAAGATGGCTGTTGTGCAGATCAACGAGCACAAAGTGAGATGTTACTAAATTTTAATTAGGTATTTTTCAGCTGATTGGAAGGTATCAAAGGAGTGATCGGCTGTAATTAGTGCAAGTCGTGTCCAGTTCAAATCTCACACTTGTGATTTCAATTAGAAGAGCGCATTGGATTATGGGAAAATCAATGTTTATCCATACAAATTCCCCACATGCACGGTGCTACGACTACCACCCATTACACGTTAGCTACATCCTAGCGACCTCTCTTACCTTCAGAATAGGTCATATAGTAATAGTAAAAAACAAAATGGCGGGAAAAGTCACATGACCGCTAAAGTTTTTATTCCTGATATTCACTACACATGAATTGTACTATATACCATAAAAAAATCTAGACGCCTAGACCCTCAGAAAGTGGTCAATCCAATATGGCTGCAAAACTAATTGGACCAGTTCATATCAGAGACTATCAGCACAGAGCATTTTCAGACTATTCGGTTCAGCGGTTTTCTCAAAAAAGTTACGGAAGAAAGAAGAAGAAAGAAGAAAAAAACGGACAATAAGAATAGAGGCTATGCCCTACAGGCTTGTGCCCCTAAAAAAAACGGACAATAAGAATAGGGGCCACGCCCTACAGGCTTGGGCCCCTAAAAAACCGAACAATAATAATAGGGGCCTTGCCCTTCGGGCTTGGGCCCCTAAAACGGACGATAATAATAGGGGCCTCGCCCTATGGGCTTGGACCCCTAAAAAAACCGAACAATAAGAATAGGGGCCACGCCCTACAGGCTTGGGCCCCTAAAAATAATTAAAACAATTGATGGTAATTTATGCAAATGTATTCACGATGACCTCATTACGACCTTATATTCACATGTATTTTATGTATGCAAATGTATTCAGAGTATCCAAGTGTGACGTCATCCTTGTTAAAATGACCCCTTTACGGCCATGGTCGCTCATTTATGCTAATTTATGCACGGCTCCCCATTGTGACGTCATCCCACCCCGTGTGACATCATCCCACGCTTTGCGATGGTTGTTGAGAGTCCCCTGAACAGTGTAACAAGATTAGCCCTACGTGTGTAACATATATGAATTTGGTTGTTCAGGATTACTTCAAAGTTTAGTTTGTGTTGTTTTCTCGAGTTTTAACCGGCTCCACCGGCGTTCCACAGCAGTGCGCATAGACTGGCGCAGTCGGGGCGATTAATTTTTTTTGTAGTTTAAATACAATAAAAAAAATCGCAAAATGGTGTTAGCGCGAAATCACCTGTAACTGCGAAATCACCCCGAAATCACCCCGACTGGTTTATTCTGCATAGCCCTCTATCGACACTGCAGGAACCCGTCAGATTTTTCAACGGGTAATTATTTTAATGAGTGTTCTAATTGACAACCATCTAAGCCAATCACAACGTCTACGTGGTACAGTGGTGTGCGTCTTAGCAACGTAGAACGTCCGTGACGTAGCTCCGCCCCCGAGGATAGCCAGTGTTAACAAATCTCGCGCCCTTCCCGAAAGGATGAGAACGTAAGAGCAAGACATCTTCCAGGGATGCATTAAAATTTGATGTTATATTAACTATGATTCTAAGTGCCAATTGTAATTGTACTTACATCAATCACTTGTATTCTTGACCGCGCCGCTCTTTCGTCGAACAGCAGTGTCTGCAATCCAGCTTTGCACGTTGGTCTCCAGCACCTCCAGAAAATCTTCTGTTTCCAGACCTTGTTCTTTTGGTACCTGTATCCATCGTGTATTTCCGCCCCTCAATCCTGGCTGGAGAAACGCCATGGCCCTTAACGACAACAGGCCTCCGTATGCAGAAACAATCAAAGAGATGTGAAGAACTTTCTTCTTGACAGTTACCAGACGACCGTAGCGCAGAGTCGAGTCGCAAACACAGTTTCCAATTAAGGGTTGGACCATTTGATTTTTGAGGGGGGAGGTCAGAATTAAAAAAAAAAATTGCAAAGTGAAGGGTTCTTCAAAAAAAAAATTGTTACTTCACCAGTGTAAAAAAAAAAAAAATGTCACTATATGACTTTGGGAAAAAAATGTTTCCATCAGCTGTTGTCGTGTCATCTCTAAACACAGTAGATTCACTTGAATTACTGCGTCATAATAATATGCCAATTCTTCCTGCCAAGAAAAGGGAGCACAGAGTACAAGAAGAAACTAGGTCATATATCAATGGATGTCAATGATTCTGGTTTGTGGATTAATTAATAGCAGAGGGAAAATTATTATCTGCGTTTCAATATTATTTTCAAAAACAATTTCACTCTGGTTGCATTTAGATTTTATACCATATATGCTCTATTAGAAGAGCATCTCCGATAGAAGCACATGTCCAGCAACAATTGCATTGATTGTATACTGATTTATTAAAATATGATGTATTTTGACTATAGAAACATGTCTTATTTACATAAGAGCATGCGTGATCGATGTGTTGTGTTGTTTTTATTATCATCAATAAGTGTTGTTTTTATTATCATCAATAATGTCTTCAACTGCCATACGTCATAACTTTCATATTAATGAACATTTCATTGCATCAGTCAAAAAGGAAATGGAAGAAGTTCAATATGATTTGACAACAGTAGATATAGATGCAGACAAGACTGCAGAATCTAGGTATAGCAATATCGTTGATAGGCTTGAGAGACTGATGACACAAAATAATATTTCAGAGGAAGAGATTTTTGAAGTACATGGAGAGCACTTAAGGTAGCGAGAAGGTTTTGTGACGTTTTTAAATAAAACATTCTCTGTCTGTTGTCTCGTTCAGAACAGTAATTTAGGCTATATATATCAAAAGACTAAGTATAGAGGTGCAAGTTCGCACAAACTGGACAGACATTGTTTACATAATTATCACGTGACATCAAAAATGGCGAACCTTGTAAAAATGACTAAGTACGCGATTGCGAGAGCACACTGCGGAATTTCCTGGTGAAATTTAAGTTATGCATTGTCCGTAATCAAGTCCATTGAAATGCGTCTCCGATAATCAAAAGACCTATTATTCCGATTTCTATGCAGGTTTGTTTTTTTGTCCCCAAATTATTTCATACTTGGCACCTTTAACAGACTAT